ACAGCGCAAGCGATGCGCTCCGAGAGAGTTCAATTATTAGACTAGACGTGCATATTATGATAAGGAAGTGGGTAGGAAACGTAAAACAGCTGTCATAAATTTATAAAATTATTAAAGCACACCTTCATAGCAACAAAAACCAACAACTATTACTATAAAAAATATACAAAAACATTAAAAAAGGTAGTACAACGATATAAAAAAATCTCTTATATCAGTAAATTTAATAAATCTGATAACAAAGTCAATATGATGTGGCAAATAATACATGAGGAAACAAACAAGAAACCGCTAAATATTAGACAAAATATACATCTAAAAATAAATAATAGCTTGATTGAGGATTCTAAAATAATAGCAAATACTTTTAATAATTTTTTTACGTCTATAGGAAACTCAAATATCGCATCGTTTAATGATAAACAACAGCCCAAAAATACCAAATCAGTAATAAATAGTTTGTACTTGGAACCGGTCCAGCCCAAGGAGGTACGAGCAGTTATCCAAAAACTAAAGAATAAAAAAAGTTTTGGAAAAGACGAGTTGCCCCCAATACTAATAAAAAAATGTGTAGAAGAGTTAACCGTTCCATATTGTAAACTTATTAACCAATCGTTTGAGCAAGGAATTTTTCCTGAAGCCTTAAAATTAGCTAAAATAAAACCTATCTACAAAAAAGGAGAAAAAACAAATCCAAATAACTATAGACCGATCGCATTGCTTTCAACCTCCTCTAAAATATTTGAGTCTGTAATGGCAAGACGAGTATACTCATTTTACGAAAAATTTAAAGTCTTACATTATAGTCAACATGGTTTCCGGAAAAACTGCTCTACGACACTAGCTGTATATAAATGTGTCAGAAAAATTTTAGATTCGATCAATAATAAAAAGTACGCTGTTAGTTTACTGCTTGATATGAGCAAGGCATACGATCGTGTTCGATACGACATACTTCTAAATAAATTATACGATTCGGGAGTTAGAGGAACAACACATAAATGGTTTAAATCATTCTTAAGAGATCGAACACAATTTGTGGAGATAGAGAGTGTCAACCCTGATACAGGGGAAATCAAAAATATTGAATCAAATATAGCATATTTAACGGGTTCTATACCCCAAGGAAGCGTCCTTGGATGTCTTTTGTTTATTATCTACATAAATGATCTTCCAAATCAAATAAACGAACAAAGCATCCTTTTCGCTGATGATATTACTGTTACTCTTACATGCTCTAATACATATGAGTTGGCAGAGAAACTTAATACTATTCTTAATAAAATCAACAACTGGCTCATACAACATAACTTGGAACTAAACATAAATAAAACAAAATTAATACAATTCAAACCCTATCAAAAACTTCCGCTTCAAATTAATTATATGTATAATAATGTAAAACTGGAGACGGTACCATCTGCTTCACTTTTAGGCATTGATCTAGATACACATTTAAACTGGCAATCCCACCTACAAAAGCTGAAAAGTAGATTGTCTTCATTTGTTTATGCTTTACAACACTTGAAAAAAGTTACAGATCTTAAAACCGCACTAACCGCTTATTATGCCTATGCACACTCCAGGCTAGCTTACGGAATTATCTTATGGGGAAATTGTAATGACGTCGAGAGTGTTTTTATTCTGCAAAAAAAGTGCATTAGAATTTTAACTAATATAGATCAGATGGAATCATGTAGACCTCACTTTAAATTACATTGCATACTTACGTTAACCTCAATCTATATCATGGAATGTTGTAAGTTTATACGAAAACATGAAAATTTATACTCACCGGTAAAGTTGGCTAAAAAGAGAAACAATCGCACAGAAAACCAAATTAAAGTACCGTTTTCTAAACTGAAATTAGTCACTACAGGACCTCATTTTATGGCCATCAAAATTTATAATCATATTCCGAATAGCTTAAAGAAAATAAAAGAAACAAAAAAGTTTATTACAGAGCTGAAAATATACTTAATAAGTAAATGTTATTACAATATTGAAGAGTTTCTTAACGAGAAGTAACAAACTGTGCCCAAATAAAAAATAAATAAATAAAAAAATAAAAAGAATAATACAAAAAAAGTATATATGAATAAATGTATCAACTATGTTTAAGGTTTATAAATTAAGTAATTAATAAAATAATTATTAAATGAATTAATAAATGAATGTATTGTAAATGTATTAATCGAGTTTAAAGTATATTGGATATGTAAGTAAAATAACTATTAAATGTAATAATAATCACTAGAACAATAATATATATAAGTAAAAATGGCAATAGTTGCCCCTCAGTATTGCTGTGCCCTTACAGGGCGTCACTTGTACAAAATTAATTTATAACATCTGTATGACCTGTGACTTGCAGTGAATAAATTGAAATTGAAATTGAATTGAAATTAATTTAGAGTAATTTCGTACATAATCTTTGAAGTCCTCACTTGTGTTATAATTACGTTCATCATATAGTTCATAGAGCCTTTTTCTGCTTTTGTAGATTCCTGGTGTAGCCCACACACTAAAAGTTATAGGATTACTAATACTTATTTTTTTTGGGACAAAAATCTTATTGAATTCTGTACAATAAACATCAAAGAAATCTTTGTACAAATCATTGGGATTACTATTATGTTTCAAATGATACAATTTACTATCTAATTGATTTTTAAAACGTTCCAAGCGACTCATACTTTTTGACACAACTGTAATGTCTCTCCTAGCCACAAACGTACATTTATGCGGAAAGCTAACTAGTTGTCCAAAATGATCTGACGGTAGTTGTTTAATTATCTGTCTTGAAAGTGGTACTAGATCTGTAAAAATGTTGTCAATACATGTGGACGAAGTAGCAGTTACTCTAGTAGGCTCCTTAAACATGTGCGCAAGATTATAGGACATAAATAGATTTACAAGTCTTGTACATGAATTGGAGTTTCCTAATAAATCAACGTTAAAATCACCCCCAATCACTAATCGTTTGCCTTTGCTATATACCTTTTTTAATGCTTCATCCATAACAGTTTCAAAAAGATCATAATGAGAAACTAAACTTGAAGGAGGTCTATATACGCTCAGTACAATCAGCTGGTCCAGCTCTATACAGGCAATCTCTATTATTTCCTCAACCGATAGGCTCACTATATCTCTACGTTCTTTAAATTTAAACTTTTTATTTAATAAAATTAGTGCGCCACCACGCATTGCGTTTTTCCTAATGAACGCGCTACCAACCAGGTGATTATTGAAGTTAAAAATGCAATTATAACTTGTTAACCAATGTTCCGTAATACAGAAAAAATCAACATTGTTACAGTTCATGAATAATTCCACTTCTAACTCTTTACTCAACATTCCTTGAACATTTTGGTGCACTAGGTTGATGACTGAAAAACTCTTGGTTCCATTATTACTTTGACTATTCAATAGCAAGCAAGAGGAATCCTCTGTTGTCTTAGTATCTAATTTAAAGACGAATTTGTCGCAATGTCAGTAGGATTATTACTGACAGTCATGTCAATAGAAGAGTGCTCAATAGGAGCACTCTGGTTAGCCAAATTTTTGGCTGTTATAGAAAAAAAATATGATAGCGAAATAGCTATTTGTCTCTTATAATAATTGGAAAGATAATATTTATCTTTAGTCAAATAAAATTTTCTAACATACTTGTTAGTGTCAATGACATGAAACTTTGCAGTATTGCATATAGTGTGCAATGTCATATTCAATTTGTATCGCAAATTATTTTCTTCATTGGACAAACTATTGCAATACGGCAACGTAAAAATCACGACTTTCCCAACACTTAATGAATTTAATTCGTTTATATATTTCAATAATTTATGTTTGTTCAAAGTACCTCTATTGCCAATAAAAAACAATAAAGTGGTATTTTCGCTGTAGTTTTGTTTAATTGCTTTTTCCAAAATATCACTAAAAGAGGAATTAGGCATACAGAAGTTTAATGTTGAATGGCCCTTATCGAATAGCAGACGGCCCATGTTTCTGCCAATTTCATCACTGAACATTAAAATATTATTTTTATAATTTTGTGAATTTATTCTGCGACGTTGGGAAAATTGTGATGGAGAGCAGTCATCAGTAACAGATGACTGAACAGGTACCTGAGTAAACAGTTGTGACTGGTGGGCAGATGACTGACAGGGTTTCTGTGTAACTGTATTTATAAATTGTTTCTTAATATCATCATAAATTAACTCATAAATAACATAATGATATGTTGTTTTGAGGAGTAATACTTAAGATGGCGTTGACATGGGCGCAGTGGGGGGACGAACGTCTGTAAAAACGAATGGTTACGGTGGAGATGTTCAGTTTTTGTTGTTGAGTGGTTTGCCGAGTAAAAAGATAAGTACTGAGTGGTTTAATCTGTTTAAATTAAAATAAAGTTTAATTATGTTATTTTATCATTGCTTCTTTAGTGTTTGCGAATGAATTCGAATTAAATACATATTGTTTTGTGCTTTTGATTTGTGTCTCATGAAATGCTTTTGACTATTATCGCTTAAAAATAAGGATTGAGAGTGTCGTTTTATTATTTAAAGGCTGCGATTTCAATACATACAAGTTAAATACTGTTTGTGGTTTTAATTATACAAGTCTACCCTACTGTTACAAAAATATATCGCTATATTCTGATGGTTGCGCAGGCCAAAATAAAAATAGATTCATATTTGCGCTTTATTTATATGCTGCTAAAGAACTGCAAATTAATATTACTCATAGATATTTCGAACGGTCAGAGTGAAGGAGATTCTATGCATTCTAGCATTGAACGCGAATTAAAACACAAAGTGGTCTATACTCCGGAACAGATGTATACAATTATAACGAATGCAAAGATTAACGGCAAAAAGTATGTCATTAAAAAAATGATGCAAAACGAATTTAACTAAATTTATTTTCATAAAAAACTTAATAAAAAAAAGAACTGGATAACTGATGAAAAGGGTAAAAAAATATTATGGTCCAAAATCATGGAAGTAAGCGTCTCTCATTTACAGCCATCCATTGTAAAATTTAAATATGATTTTGATGATGAATATTCCAAACTAGATACCGAAATCAAAACAAGATCCAAGCGTAACTCCAGACAAACTTCTACAAGCAATGGCACCGTATTCTCTGAGCAGTCATTAAAAATAGTGTACACAGAGCCATTTCCGATAAGTAAAGCCTTACGCGCTGATTTAATAGAACTGTGTCGAAAGGAAGCTATTCCCAACTTCTACCATGACTTCTATAACTCTTTAATATGCGATTCAGATAATCACTTAACGGAACTGCAAGAAAACGATATCGATGATGATGATTAGTATTTTGTTTCATATTTTTATAGTGTTGATTCTTTGAAATTGTTTGCAATAAAGGCTGATTACCATATTCATGTTTATTAAAATATCCCCGAATAACGATCTAACGACACGGCACTTTTCACACAATTAAAATATCCCCGAATAACGATCTAACGACAGTTTGCACGAGAATAAAATAGTAAGTTACTATTATTGATACAGGATTCACCTTAACAACCAAATGAATAAAATTATGAGACAATATAACGATATTCGTAGTAACTTGATTTTTCCGAGAATAAAATGATAAGGTAACTTTGGTAAATTAATGCAACTACTTTTTTTCCCTATTATTTACTTCATTAAATAATTAGAATATCGTGGACAATATAGCTTATTTTTAAATACGTAATGGTAGTATAAAAAATTAGGTTTCAGGGGAACCCTGCATCGTCTCTCTAAGACAAAAACTTTTGGAGTAATCGACATTTTAGTGTTTTTTATTTTTCCTGAAAGGTTAAGATTTTGCGATTATCATTTTATTCTCCGGGGACGGCGATATATCAATATCAAATACCAAAGAAGTACCATCTGCAAACAATACCATAGTAATTATTACGGTTATTCTTTTAGTTTTGTTAGAATTGAATTCCATATTATCTCTTTTTTTAGGCACTTGTCATATATTGTCAAGATTTAAAGTCATTTGCAAATCTTATTTACAATTGAGGTTTCAGCAATAATCGTTCTTTGTAATTTACATTTAACTTAATATTTCCTAATTAGTGTTTTTACGGGTGACATTCCGGTTTCTCAGTACCTTCATTTTCAAATTTATCATAACACTTATCAGAACTCACGAATAGTGAGTAACGTCACAAATCATAACTATTTGGTACTATTAACCTCTCTTTACTTGACATAAAGTGGAAGTAAAATTGGTGGTGACCAAGTTGCCACAGACATTTATTACTCCTACTTATTACAAATAATATACTTACACAATTAAACAGTCACTTTAATCACAGCTGAGAAACTCATATTTGTTTGTGATTAGAGTTACTTATTCCAGTATATCATTTTTGCACACACTTTAAATAAGAATTAATTGTAAAAGTAATGAGGAAGTATTTAAAAAAACAAAAATTAGTTATTGAAATCATACTAGATGTCACTCGCGAGTTTTGGATTTTGTTTATGATATTCATTCAAATTTTATTTCTGACGTAATAAAAGTAGATTGAGTATCTAAAATTAATAAATATGACATCGTTTTGTGTTTCTTATAATATGTAACTTTCAAACTAATTTTAATTTATTTTAATCGTAAGTTTAAGTTGTTTATTATGTCACGTGTAAAGGAAAGGTTTATACGTCAACAATAGTTATGAGCCAACTTATTGGTTGCTCGTAACTTTCATCCGAATTCAGGTTTGGAATTAAGAACAAAAGCGGAGCGCAATATTCAGCTTGTATTTGTATGTGTCATTGTGCATCCACAAAACGAATGATATTAATACAAATATCAAAATCAACTCAGTCTAGGCGGTTTCATATTACTTGTGAAAGTCGAAAACTTTACCAATGGTTCAAAAAACTAAGGCGCGAGATCTCGTACCGACAAGAATTGGCAAGAAACTCAGCAAGGGCTGCTTTTTTTTTAATTTCAACTATACTATATTTGAGGGAACGTAACCACCTGACGCACACGACACCACCGCAGAGATTTCAAGAGAGCATGACCACTCCAGGCTCCCAGTGAATAATATATTTCAATAAAACTGATTTCTAGAGTAGGTTGTGTCAGTCTATTAACTATTAACAACATTATTGTAAGAACCAAAAAGCACAAACCCACAGCACGAATTAACCCAACACATGGCCCGACGTCCGCCGTCGACACGCAAGATCAGTAGTAGTATAATTACTGTACGTGTCTTTGTGATTTTGAAATTCAGAATTATAACCTTGCTGTTCGTTTAGAACAGACGTCTCTTGCCGACTGCTGAATGTTTATTAAGATGATCCAACCATGAATATAAGATTTAATAACTGATCACAGTTTTTTAAAGTATTAATTTCGAAAGCACAAGTTATCCGCACGCTACACCCCGCACAAACGTCATTTCAGCCAGAAGTCATGCCATCTCGCACAAATACACAGTATATCTAATACATATCGGGTAAGTATATAGATACTAAACGGATTTTTTACTATAATTATCGTTTTTATGACCCTTACCGATGATTAATAAACCCTATTCATCCATTCACCATACATAATATAAAGATATTATCGAGACTTGATGCAGTTTCGTTGTTGTAAGTTCAACAAACAAACAATAGCATCAAAACTAACCCACCCGGCTGCTATTGTTTTAAGAACCATTGTTAAATACTGTAATAAAAATTCCCAGACCTACTATGGCATAAGTATTTTATTCACAAAAACTACAAACAACTTTTTTTCAACAGTTTTAGACCACTTAGTGTTGATTTCTTGAATTCACAAGTAAAATTTTAATATTTACTAAACAGTTAAAGTTAGCTATTGTCGCTCGAGTGTCTTTGCAAATGAAGTAATACGTGGGAATAGAAACACGAACCCGATGGAGTTCGGTTGCACTTACGATAGTCCTAGAGCAACACATCAAAGTTCGCTTTAATACCGGCTTAGTATTTAATCTACATTAGAGTTACAGTTTATAATCAAATAATGATTCATTTCATTTGATTAGTACAGTAACTTATTTATTTGAAATTGTAAAAAATAATATTTAAATGTTGTATGAATACTATTGTAAATTACTAAAATGTTATAAAATACTTAATTTAGATTCAAGTAAAATATACAAAAATATATTAGGCAAATTCAAATACATTGCTTAGATTCTAAGATAAGAGTTAAAGCCTTCGTATTGTGTATTATCTGAAACGACGAAGGTGTCACAAAGCAAATCCAAAATTTGCTTTTTAATTATAAATTAAATTTTCATATACCGTTTTATAGAAAAATTTTAAAGGATAAATTCTCCAAATTATACATTGTAGGATATGGATTGTAGGCCAGCGGCGATGACTGACGTCACGCATTACGTAGCTCGCCGGGCGTATGCGCATCCTTGTCGCACGCGCTCGCTTCGTGATGATGCGTGCCTGCTCGCGTCGTCGCGCCGTCGGCCGAACAAGAATGACTCTGCATATAGCTTTGCTTGCGTACGACCGTCACATTGCTAATAATTAACAATTTGCTTAATTTCGCTATTTTATATAATTCTTTTCTTATAATTTAATTCTATTCTGTGTGTAAATAATATATCCTTCATTCTTAGTGCTTGTGCTTCTTTTCCTTCTCGTGAACTGTGTTGTTTTGTGCTGTTTAAATTGAACATTCTTATCGGGTTCGACTCCCGAATTTTATGTGGGATTACCTCGTTTAATATCCTACATCTGGTGACCCCGACGTGATCTGAACACGCAACCCCTGCAGAACACGAGGAAAAACCTATTTTGAGAAGGAGGATTGTTCCACGGAAGATATTGGATAAAACGGTCGGTGGTTTAAAAAAAAAACGGTGAGCGATTTTTAATTTTTTTTTTCAACGATGAGTCACAGTGAAGATTTTTTCGAGTGCAAAGAGGAAGTTTTACGAGTAGGTGTTAGAGTACCACCTTTTTGGCCAGAAGAGCCTGCTTTATGGTTCGCACAGGTTGAATCACAATTTGCCTTGTCAAAGATAACCAGCGATGAAACTAAATTTTTTTACCTCGTTGCACAATTGGACCATCGGTATGCGGTCGAGGTAAAAGACGTAATTACCAACCCTCCCGCCACAACATTTTTAATAATTCACAAACTATATGTACTTACGTATTATGAAGCCAATACAATGTCTTTGTGAGTACATGATTTTAATTTAGTTTAAAAATCCATGTCAGCCTGATTTTATAAAGTAAGACTTATTATCAAAATCATAGTTCACACAAATTATAATTAATGTCTATGATAATTGACATCAGTAAAACAAGAAAAACATTAGATTTTTTATGCATTTTTCTCTAAGATTAGTAAAATATAGTATTTTTTTTGTTTTTCATGAAAACAGATAATATTCTTTAATGTAGAAAAAATACAATTATTCATGTACATTATATCTTTTATCAAAGATTATTCAACATTTTTAATGAATAACTACATTATGGATTTTTCTTTATGTAGCAGCAAGGTCATTAATTTTATTAGAGTGTTATTAATTTTATTATATAATACGTATTATTACGTAATATAATTATTTTTTTGTTATTTATTTCAGAAAACCAGACATGAGGTAGCTGTGCATTGCATGATGACATCGAAGATCAATCTCTGAAGAATTCTAATACATTTTTCTTTATATATGTAGACATTGAAATAAAATTAAAAATCTCATCCCATTCTCCTATAGATATTAAGAGGTAATTGATAATTAAAGTATTCTCATACGAGATTACATCGAGTTGTGATTACTTTTTATCATGAAGGTAAAGAAGTTGTGGTAACGTTTCAAGAAGGTAATGGTAACTAACGTAAGTATAAATATAAATCGGTAAAGGTATTGTGGTAACGTTTCAAGAAGGTAATGGTAATGTAGGTATAAATATAAATCGGTAAAGGTATTGTGGTAATGTTTCAAGAAGGTAATGGTAACGTAAGTATAAATATATAAATCTAAAGTAAGATTCAGAGAATCCCAAAAGCATTTTATTTGTTAGGTAATTAGGAGTCTGTTCGGTGCGTGATCTTACCATGGGCTCGCAGCGAGTGACTTACCACGGTGCTTCCAACTGAACAGTTTAGGCGATGTTTGGTGCGTGATCTTACCATGGGCTCGCAGGGAGATACTTACCATAGTTCTCTCAGCCAACATTAGTTAGGAATCTGTTCAGTGCGTGATCTTACCACGGGCTGACAGGGAGTGACTTACCACGGTGCTTCCAACTGAACAGTTTAGGCGATGTTTGGTGCGTGATCTTACCATGGGCTCGCAGGGAGATACTTACCATGGTTCTCTCAGCCAACACTAGTTAGGAATCTGTTCAGTGCGTGATCTTACCACGGGCTTGCAGGGAGTGACTTACCACGGTGCTTCCAACTGAACAGTTTAGGCGATGTTTGGTGCGTGATCTTACCGTGGGCTCGCAGGGAGATGCTTACCATGGTTTTCTCAGCCAACACTAGTTAGGAATCTGTTCAGTGCGTGAAGTTACCACGGGCTTGCAGGGAGTGACTTACCACGGTGCTTCCAACTGAACAGTTTAGGCGATGTTTCAGGCGCGGCCTGAATTCCAGCGTGCGCAAAATCCTTATTGAGGCTTCATCGATGGAGAGGGCGGCTGTAAAGCCATCCTTTTCATCTTTAGCACTCAGGATCTTCCACATGCCGGTTTCCAGATCGTTTTGTTTCTCCAGAAGCATCAGAGCGTCTTTAATTGATTCCGCTTCTGATTTCGGGATAAAAACAATGCCTACTTTAGGTTTGGGCAGTTCGTTCTCACTCATGAGAGAGAGATCTGCCTCCGGCCAGGGTTTAATGCTGGCTATTTTGCGCTTTAGCCATTTTAGGCTATACTCCTCCTTAACGATAATGAGGAGCCAGCCCGGCTTAAAAGCGCAAGCTTCTAACTTTGGTGTCGTCTCACCTTTGGGGGCTTCAATAACCGCCCTTAGGATGCTACGTTTCACCAACGTTAGTTGTTCATCCGACATAGGTTCCTTATTACGGACCCCTATTCGGATGTTTGTGAGGACATCCCCAAACGACCTCCCTTCTGTCGCTGACGGCCCAGCCATCTGCGACATCTCGGCGTTTGGTTCAGTGCTTGTCGATATGAGCGCCCCAGCATCTGAAATCTGAAACTGGCGTCCTCAGTACCGGTTTCCATCTCAGAGACCTCAAGATCGGTACTGAGGACGCCAGTCTGAAATCAACAGACTCACCAACGTCCGCGGTACCTGCAACCAAAATCAGAAAGAATCGACGAAAGAATCTCACGGGAGCGGTTCGTAAACGCCTCAGACGCCTCAAAGCGCAGGGCATGGACCCAATCAAGGCCTATAAACTGTGCTTTGAGGATATGATGGCGAGGGCAACCGCCTCGAGGGGAGCTTCCGAAGATGTGGGTGAAACTTCGACGAATCGAAAACCGATCAAACGGAATAGATCCGAAGAGGAATCACCCAAGGATAATCCAAAAAAGGCCTCTCGCATTGGCGAAGGCTCAGATGCTGGGGCGCTCATATCGACAAGCACTGAACCAAACGCCGAGATGTCGCAGATGGCTGGGTCGTCAGCGACAGAAGGGAGGTCCTTTAGGGATGTCCTCACAAACATCCAAATAGGGGTCCGTAATAAGGAACCTATGTCGGATGAACAACTAACGTTGGTGAAACGTAGCATCCTAAGGGCGGTTATTGAAGCCCCCAAAGGTGAGACGACACCAAAGTTAGAAGCTTGCGCTTTTAAGCCGGGCTGGCTCCTCATTATCGTTAAGGAGGAGTATAGCCTAAAATGGCTAAAGCGCAAAATAGCCAGCATTAAACCCTGGCCGGAGGCAGATCTCTCTCTCATGAGTGAGAACGAACTGCCCAAACCTAAAGTAGGCATTGTTTTTATCCCGAAATCAGAAGCGGAATCAATTAAAGACGCTCTGATGCTTCTGGAGAAACAAAACGATCTGGAAACCGGCATGTGGAAGATCCTGAGTGCTAAAGATGAAAAGGATGGCTTTACAGCCGCCCTCTCCATCGATGAAGCCTCAATAAGGATTTTGCGCACGCTGGAATTCAGGCCGCGCCTAGGCTTTAAAAGGGTTGTCATCCGCATCTGGGGGGAGAGTATTCCAACGAATGTGGATGGGAATCCTAAACCGGGGACAAGCTCCTTGGCAACAAAGACCATGCCCCCGCAAAAGACCACTCCAACGGGACCGCAAGCGTCGGAATCTGGAACCACGTCGAAACGCACTAACGTCGCGAGGGGGCCCGGGAACCCAGCCTTAGTCAAACGTCCCAAAGGAGGGCCAAATAAAAGAGCACAAAGCTCAAAAAAAGGGAAGGCGAGGCATGTCGATACGGCGTAGGACGCCTCTAACGTCCTAAAGCCGAATCAATATGCTCTAAACGCTCGCCCTTATCAACACTACACGTCAACAGAAACACTAACACAACACTCACATACACACAACACACAACACACAATGAACAATACACATGTGGTCCAAATTAACTTGCACCACGCCAAGGCTGCTACGGCAGTCCTTGAAAAAATCTTCACCGAGAAGAACTTCCACATAGCTCTAATCCAGGAGCCATGGCTTGCTAATAACAACTTGGTATCCGGATTCGGCTCCTCTGGTAAGGTAGTTTATCATACCAATGGAGTTAAACCAAGAGCTTGTATTTTGTTTAATAGCAATATTAATTATTTATCTATACCAGGACTCTGTAATGACGACATGGTTACAGTCTTCATAAACATCAAAAACGGAAGGGGGCGGGTAATACTATGCTCAGCTTACCTAGATGGAGAGAGAAATGACCCAAAAATGACCCGTTGAATATGCAAACGACTGCAACGCTGAACTTCTCATCGGATGCGATGCAAACGCACACCACACCGATTGGGGCAGTACCGACATTAATGCAAGAGGTGAGTTACTACACTACTACATGATACTACATGACTTTACTCTAACCAACCGCCTTCAAATAGTTAACATTACTCTTTATCATTACTCTTTAGAAATCGTTAGATAAACACCTGTTTGTACAAGTTCTATAATAATCTCTGTTGTTAAATAGTTTAAACGTGACCATTCACTCGAAATGAGTAAAGTTTAAAACTTAATCAAGAAATCTACAGTTTATCAAAATTGTGTTGGTTATAAGTGTAATTTATAGAATTGAATTCAATATTAATTTGCGAGTGTACTTATTATTCACATTTGTGGGGTCAGTCAACAATTGTAGGCGAAGCGGTTAAGTGTGCATCGACAAGCGATTCTCGCCGGTGGGCAGTGAGTGCAACCGTTAAAACTGCGTGCGCGCTCGCATCTTCGATGCATACTAATACTACTACTTCGATGCATATAAAAGACCCTTCGGTTATCCTAACAGCATTTAAAGAACGTGGATTTGCGACATGTTAGTGAAGTGATGAACAATTTAAAGTATATAGACACACAATACGAGAGTGAAAACGTAATAATAACAAAAAACATAAGTGTATGGACCATGAGCATTTACTTATTAGTTATAATATTAACTTGTCTATTTGTAATTTTATTTACCCCACATCAATAACCTTTGTCAGCAGAAGTAGCTGCTCTCAATAAATATTTAGATGTAAGCATTTATTATTATATAAATACTAGTGGATAAGGTAAATACATTGATTATTAGTTAGTTGTTACTCTGTTCATTTAATAAAATATATTATATTTTTTATTAAAACCGGTGTCGACTGCTTAATTAGCGCGGCCGAGCAGATGATGTCATCGTCTTGATGGTTGCAGCACGCGTCGTCATTCTTGTCCCCGCGTTTCGACGTCTCCCTGCATCCGGTTTGCCGCTTGTCTTCCGTTGCAGGGCCCTCGTGTTTAAAGACTTATGTCTATAAAAGTTAGCTTTATTAAATTTTAAATTTCATTGGTGTTGTTTTAAGTCAGCTCGGATTTTTGTATGTTTTTTGCAGACTTTAATTTGTCGCATATATTATCACCAAAAAGATATTTATCTCTTTTCGTTTCGATCAAGGTATCTTTAAGATTTGAATTTGTAGCAGCTATAGCAAAGTTTCTTCTTATCTTTGTTTCGTTAAAGTGTAAGTCACATAATATGCGATATGCATCACTGACTGATTTAAGAATTTTAGAATCACCTTCCTTAATTATAAGCAATTGCATGGCTTGGGCGAGAGCGAGAGTTTTTCCGCCAAAATATTATCTCTTTTAACCAATGCATCAGAAAGCGCCGCTTTTACCTCCGGGTTTAAAAGTGGTGGCACTAAAAGTTCGCAGTTGCCGGGTATAAGGTGTTCTTTAAGAAGCGTTTCTTTAACTTTTTTTGGGAGACCTTTCAACAAAAGTTCTTGCCAACGGTCGGCAATATTTTTATGAATATTTGGACCCATTTCAATATCTGTTTTCGGAGGGTCTCCCAATAGTTGTAAGATTTTGTCGTCTAACTGAGATTCTGGCGGGTTATCTGTCGCTGCTGAGGATGTAGAAGCTACAGGATTGTTTAGTGCTGATGACAAAACTGTATCTGCAGTTTCGGTGAATGGCATCAGAGTGTTACGTCGATCGGTTGTAACAGGATCTGCAAACGTATAGGTAGTTGATAGATACATACAATCTGGTTCGCATACAATAGACTAAAACCGTATCATTTATGTAGGTAGTTTTAGTGCACATCTGAGTTTTTATGATAACGTATGTGACAGAGAAAGCCCTGGTGGCCAACCCATATCACTCGTATGACAGCAACCTGTACTGTTTATGTTTATCATAAGACAGATATTACTGTGCATAGTGCAAATGTGACAGGGAGAGCCCTGGTGGCTAACCCGCATCACTCGTGCGTACAGTAATATGTATCGTTTACGTTTGTCATGCAACATACATTATTGTACGTATTACAAATGTGACAGGGAGAGCCCTGGTGACTAACCCGCATCACTTATGATGTATGTTTATCAAAACAGGAATAGCCCTGGTGATTAGTTCACATCATTAAGGTGCGTATTTATTGCACCATTTAATTACTCTTTATATTTATATGACAGAGTTAGCCCTGATGACTAACCCGCATCACTTAGTTATGTAATTTATCGAACACAAAGTGAACAAAGTTAACTTGTACTGAGTAGAGGGTAGTTATAAAACTATTTCCACATACTAAAAGCATCTTAGTAGTAGATGGTTATTGGGCATTCTTCCCCACTTTCGTTCGCTCGGGCTTGCGCCCTCACTCCTCGTGGGGTGAAATGCCCAATAACCATCTCGGATATTCGTTACCTCGTTTTTTCATTCCACTTCAATTATCTAATAAATAAGAAACCAAATCTACCACCAGTTCGTAAATTGAGAGACCCTTTAACAGAGAAGAACTGGCCAAAGAAACTCTGAAAGGTTAAGAAATCTCTCCCTAAGATTAAAATCGTAAAACTAGCGATCTAAAATCACGCACCGATCGCCGTCTAAACTGTTCAGTTGGAAGCACCGTGGTAAGTCACTCCCTGCGAGCCCGGGGTAAGATCACGCACTGAACACTGAACAGATTCCTAACTAGTGTCGGCTGAGAGAACCATGGTAAGTATCTCCCTGCGAGTCCATGGTAAGATCATGCACCAAACATCGCCTAAACTGTTCAGTTGGAAGCACCGTGGTAAGTCACTCCCTGCGAGCCCGTGGTAAGATCACGCACTGAACAGATTCCTAACTAGTGTTGGCAGAGAACCATGGTAAGTATCTCCTTGCGAGCTCATGGTAAGATAACGCACCAAACATCGCCTAAACTGTTCAGTTGGAAGCACCATGGTAAATCACTCCCTGCGAGCCTGTGGTAAGATCACGCACTGAACAGATTCCTAACTAGTGTTGGCTGAAAGAACCATGGTAAGTATCTCCCTGCGAGCCCATTATTATTATTATTTATTGCTGTAAGGGGCTATGCAGTTCCCTGAGGAACTGTAGTCACTGCGACCTTGAAGATCTATTGTGACTCGCCGCCAGATCTATACTAACTCCTTTAGCCCGGTAGACTTCAAAAAGTCTATTATATTCCTGGCTTTTAGAGATTTTATATCTTCTGGGCTGATTATATGTCGTCCCAGATGTATGCTTCGTTTGTGGATTAGTGGTCCACATTCACACAGAAGATGTTTTGGTGTTTCACGTTCCTGACAAACAAAGGCAAAGTTGGTAAATTCTTATTATAATTAGATGACTGAACTAAAGACGTTATTAACGGACGACTCATACGTCGTTGCTCTTCAACCACCCTCTTTAAATTATTTAAATTAGTCATAATAGCGTAGTACAAATCATTGAAATCGTTGCGTATCTTAATCTGTTCCTCTTTGTTAAAAGACCTTAACTTGATTAACGTTTTTTCAATTTTAGTTTGAACTTTATTGAATTTACGTTGGTGAGAATTTAAATCAGTAGTTCGTGAGCGAAACTGTTGGACATCTGTCGCTGCGAACTGTAATGTTCGTTTTAAATCATCGAGAATAAGATCTCGTTCGAATAAATCTTGTTCACACGGCGATTCATCATCAGACATTTTGCGTAACAAAGATGACTGCTTCGAATTCGCTGCGTCACTATCCATGATAATAAGTACGTAATACTGTTTAGAGACAACACAACTGAAAGATAGCAATCCGGTTCGAACGGATCAAAAGAAATTATGTACGATATTAAGCAGGGGTTGGCGACTCACCGCAAGCGATCCTTTACCGCCACGGATTCCGAGGGCTGGGTTCTGGAACGGGGTGCGTCGACGCGGTTACCAGCGAAGATATCATACACGATATATAGTCCATAGGCACTGATCCACCGTTCTTCCGAAATGTGTTTATTCTCGATAACAAACAATTCACCAAGCTCAATCAAAATTAGGTGCGCGCAGTTAGCAATTTGAATTCACAGTAAAAACCGTCACCCAAGGATTAAGGGTGGGGATTTGGAACGAAGACAGCTAATCGCCTTGCCCATAGACAATAAAAAATTTACCCACAGTTATGTTGTCTTTATATAGCTAATTATCAATCATCTGTTTCGTTACGGAACAAGTGTATTATTTTAAATTAAAACCTTACTATTATTTTGCATATCTGTACCATTCTCGACTCAATGGTGACTAGGAAATTTCGTAAGCATCCATTGATGCCACTACGACAACTTAAATCTTAAAAATTTTGAAAATGTCAAATTGATTAAATAAAACAAAGAAAATATATTTTAGGGTTTATATTTCAAAATAATATAAAATATAAAACTAACTACTACTAAATCTAATTATTCACTTAAAAATTATTGTCACATATTTTCTTACTTATATTTCTAATTAATTG